GTAAGCTCTGAGTTTAGGCTAGAATTGGGTTAGGTTGTGGTAAAAGGTTGGGTCTGAATTGAGGTTAGATTTGGGCGGGGTTGAAGTTGGTGTGAGTTGGAATTGGGGTTAAGGTTCTAACTGGGGTGGGGATGTGGGTTGAAGAGAATTCTGATTTGGGCTTGGGTTTGCTGTTGGGCTTGCCCTTGTGGGGCTTGGAGTTGAGTTGCTGGTTGGAATTGGGGTTGAGTAACCTGAGGGCTGACCTGGAGCCTCACAGGTGAACAAAGGAACTATAGTTTTGGGGGGGCACTTGTGAGTCCTTGTGGCTGGTGGTGGTAGTGGGGTATTGACCAGAGGATGTGTACTCTTGGGAACATTGGACAGGCAAGGTGTCTTGGCGAGGGGACAAGACACAGGGTTATTCCCAGCCCATCAGCTGATGTGCAGCCTGCACTGAGGCCAGGCCCTGCCACTTGGGCATCATGCCCCATTTGTATAAGAGAAGATTCTCCCAATCTGCCCTTTGGACTTCCCAATGTCTTCCTCATTCCTCCAGGACACCCAAGAAAGTGTGGGAGCTGAACACAGCAGTGCAGGTGATGTGTGCCAGGCAAGATCTCAAGGAACTGCTGGATCAGGGGCAGCAGAAGCCTGGTGGTGACACGAGTGGCCAGACAGGGGGCAGAGCTCTGTCCTGGCCTGCAGGGGAGGCCTGGCTGCACCTGGATGGGAAGGCTTAGTGACCTATGAGGTTAATCTAGTCCATCTCTCTGGGGCCTGGATGATATGTTGTCCGCAAATCACTGTAGTCTGAGTCTCCTCTTCCCATCCTTTTACCTTAGTCCCTGGTAAGACCCTGACCATTCCCAGATATCTCAGTCTGCATCTCATAGCTTCAGAATTCTTCCTGGTGCTTAAGCGAGCAGGGAGTGTTTCTCAGGTGATCCTGGGGCGATTTCAAGCCCACAGGGATGCAGTTCCTAGAAGGACCCAAGGGGGAGTGCTTACTCATGTCACATTCTTCCCCACCGGAGTCTTTGGGAGTTGGTGATTTCCTGGGCTAACCTGGGTCTTCCTACAGCTAGCAGCTCTTACACCAGCCTGTACAATCTGTTGGACTTCCCTGCTGGCGTGGTGCCCGTCACCACTGTGACGCTACAGGACGAGGAGGAACTGGCCTTCTACAAGGGATACTACGGAGATAGTAATGACAGAAACTTCAAGGAGGTCAGTGTCCCTCTCCTTACCTCTCCCCCAGGAGCACAGACCAGTACTGAGTCTTGCCTCCATCCCTGTGGATGGGTGAGGGCAGGGTGGGATGGGTCTGGGCATTCCCAGGGTTTAGCCTTTATCACTTCTGCTAAAGTGATAACGTGTCACCCCATCCCCGAGGACACACCATTTAATGTCCAGGTCATCCTCTGTCTTTGTCAGGGGAGAATATTTTACAAAAACAGTGGTCTGCTCGACACCTCTGTAAGGAAAGTCCAATCCAGAGGCAGGAAGGGTGGATCAGGGCAAAGGCCCCTGGGTAAGAGCTTACTGTGAAACAACTGGATACCGCCCTTCTCTGGGCCTCAGTTTCTTTGTGAGAAAAAAACAGGAATAAAAAAGTCTACTTTGCAGAATTATGTTAAAGGTTAAATCAAAAAAGACTGAAGCAATTAGCATAAGGTCTTATATGTAGGAAGTGTTCAATAAATGCTACTATTATTAATTCAGAGGTGACTTACCAAAAGAAAATGTTTCTATGGGCCTATTCAATGCAGAGTCTAAAATAATAACCCTGATGACTTTGAAAAGTATGCATGTGTCTGAGTAAGACATTAAGTAACTTATTTTTCTGGAAATTATTTTATTTTTTACTTACTGATTTTAAAAAGAGAGAGGAAGGGGAGAAAGAAACATTGATATGTTGTTCCATTCGTGCATTCATTGGTTGATCCTGAATGTGCCCTGACCCAGGATTGAACTCGCAACCTTGGTATATTGGGATGACACTCTAATCAACTGACCTACCTGGCCAGGGCTGGAAATTGATTTTAGTGGTAGAATTACCCAGTGGAACTGCTGAGAAAATAATAATAATGACACTATCTAGTGTGTCTTGAGCTCTTCCTCTGTTCCAGGAGCTGTTTAAAAGTGATATATAGAGTGCAGCCATAGTGGTGGCGTTGGTTGAGCATCGTCCTGTGCACCAAAAGGTGGCCAGTTTGATTCCTGGTCAGGGCACATACCTGGGTTGCAGTACAGGAGGCAACTGAGGCAACCGATTGATGTTTCTATCTTACATGGATGTTTCTCTCTCTTCCTCCTCCCTGCCCCCCTCTCTCTTTCTCTCTAAAATCAATAATATATCCTCAGGTGAAGATTAAAAAACAAAGACAGGCATTCACAACAGATGGCTATTGTTGTGTTGGCTCTTGTCATTTTTCTATTTGACAATCTAAGTAAGCGATAAGAGGTCAGTGCCCCTGACTAAATAATCAGGTATTACACGCTTTAAATATTCTTGCTGCACACTAGTGTGATGGAAAATTGCTGTCATAAAGCAATGAAAACATGTTTGAATTCCTACAATTATGTTTGGATTTCATGGCAGGCACTCAGGCTCAGCACCCATGTTCCCGGGCTTGTGTTTGGAGTCAAGGCACCTCTTTCACTGCAGAAGCGTAACTAGGTTCTGGATCAGGGACTTGCACATTCTTCTTTCCTGTGCTAAGAACATTGGCTGGATACTTGGTTTTATATTTCATTGTTATAGTCAGCTCTTTGCACAAGGAACAAGTTTCACCCTGGAGAATTGTAGACAAAGTCAGAACAATTTTTCCAGGTTTTACTGAGAGCCGAGGAAGCCTGGAACTCTGAGATCTAGGAAATCTCTATCTTAATCTGGACTGGAGATGAGATATTTGGATTAATGCATACCTACGGGAGGTGAGGAGGGGTGGGCAAGGGGCTTGTGGGCAGGAAGCAGGCTCTGATTTACAGACACTCTCTCTGAGCAGGCGGTGGAAGGATCCGTGGGGCTCCCAGTGGCTGTGCAGTGCATCGCTTTGCCATGGGAAGAGGAACTCTGTCTTCGGTTCATGAAGGAGGTGGAGACCTTGACCAAGAACCACAGGGAACCCAGATGACAAGCCATTTCTTTTGGAGACCTTCCTACATCCTTATCCAAGTCTGTTCCCAATGCCCCTTCCTTCTCATGAGTGCCATATCCACCTCCTATCTCCTCCGGGAAGCCCACCATATTCCTTTTCTTTGCAGTTTTTTTCTGTCCTTGTAGGTGCTTCATCGGTGGACTCAAAGCCACTCAAGATGGGGATCAGGGTGAAGGGCTCAATAAACATTTCTTACTGGCCAGCCTTGTGATTTCTGATCTAGGCGGACTATAGCCTCCTGACGGCCTTTTGCCTCCAGCTGTCCTCCTCCAGCTCAGTCCCCCAGATGCTATCCCAGATTGCAGCAGAGGAGAACGAGCCCCAAACTGAGAGGCTGCAGGCATGGGTTCAAGTCTTGGCTCTGCCACTGGCTTGCTATGCAGTGCTGGGCAAATTCCTTCCCCTCTCTGGGTCTGTTTTCTCACCTACAAATTGAAGGAGGTAGATTTGATCACTTAATTATTTTGTGAGCTGTGATTCCTAGGTATTTCCCTGACAAGCACTTGCCACGGCCCTCACTGGGGTCTAGAGAAAGTTTCAGAGAGCAAGACCAAGGAAGGGAAGCCTAGTCAGAGCACACCCTGGGTTGGGACCCAGGCCTCAGCTCACAGTCTGGTGCTTTACCCACAAAGTGCAAATTTCTTGGTGTGACCCACAGCACCTCCCGACGTCCTCCATGTCCTTTCTTGGTGTGACACACAGCACCTCCCGAGGTCCTCCATGTCCTCTGCCTTGGCTCTGCTGGAGCACAGCCTCCCTCATTTCCTCAAACGGGAGCCCTCTTGGCAGCACGATGCGCTTCTGCCTCTGTTCAGACTTTCCTTTTTACCTGAACATCATCACCATCTTTTCTGTCCTTCAAGCCCTTTGACAAATGACAATTCCTCCAGGAAGCCTTCTTCAATCCCATCAACTCCCTCATGACCGCCTCTTCATCTGATCTCTTGAGATCCTCCTGTATCAAAACTTACCCTTCCTCCTGGCAGGTAGCTCAGTTGGTTGGAGCATTGTCCCAACACATCTAAACTTACCCTTCCCACTCCTTTCGTCACTGGGTCTTATCGGTGTGGGGACAGTGGCGGCAATGAGGCAGAATTGTCACACAATGCAAAAATCACTTTTGAAGAAACATGCCCATTCTATTTCCAGTTGCTTGTTCCAGACGGACTATCTATGAAAATCTGAGTGCCAGATTATTATGACCACCCCATCAGTACTTCATTGACACTTCCAAAAATAGTGAATATTTAAAACTTCCTAATAAGATACTCTCAAGGTGTTATTATTATTATTATTATTTGCATAACTAATTCACTTCATTGTACTGATGGGGTGGTCATAATAATCTGGCACTCAGTGCATTTTCATAGTCTGTCTAGAACCAGCAACTGGAAATAGAATGGGCATGTTTCTTCAAAAGTGATTTTTGCATTGTGTGACAAATTATGGGCCCAGCGGCGGTAACAGGCCTGGTCCAGGCAGCAATCTTGCGGTTTCCACACTGCTGACACAAGGTAGTGCTTCTGCCTCATCGCCGCCACTGTCCCCACACCGATAAGACCCAGTGACGAAAGGAGTGGGAAGGGTAAGTTTAGATGTGTTGGGACAATGCTCCAACCAACTGAGCTACCTGCCAGGAGGAAGGGTAAGTTTTGATTCAGGAGGATCTCAAGAGATCAGATGAAGGGAAGGTCATGAGGGAGTTGGCGGGATCAAAGAAGGCTTCCTGGAGGAATTGGCATTTGACAAAGGACAAATGCCAATTCCTCCAGGACAGAAAGGACAGTGATGATGTTCAGGTTAAAAGGAAAGTCTGAACAGAGGCAGAAGCGCATCGTGCTGCCAAGAGGGCTCCCGTTTGAGGAAATGAGGGAGGCTGTGCTCCAGCAGAGCCAAGGCAGAGGACATGGAGGACGTCGGGAGGTGCTGTGGGTCACACCAAGAAATTTGCACTTTGTGGGTAAAGCACCAGACTGTGAGCTGAGGCCTGGGTCCCAACCCAGGGTGTGCTCTGACTAGGCTTCCCTTCCTTGGTCTTGCTCTCTGAAACTTTCTCTAGACCCCAGTGAGGGCCGTGGCAAGTGCTTGTCAGGGAAATACCTAGGAATCACAGCTCACAAAATAATTAAGTGATCAAATCTACCTCCTTCAATTTGTAGGTGAGAAAACAGACCCAGAGAGGGGAAGGAATTTGCCCAGCACTGCATAGCAAGCCAGTGGCAGAGCCAAGACTTGAACCCATGCCTGCAGCCTCTCAGTTTGGGGCTCGTTCTCCTCTGCTGCAATCTGGGATAGCATCTGGGGGACTGAGCTGGAGGAGGACAGCTGGAGGCAAAAGGCCGTCAGGAGGCTATAGTCCGCCTAGATCAGAAATCACAAGGCTGGCCAGTAAGAAATGTTTATTGAGCCCTTCACCCTGATCCCCATCTTGAGTGGCTTTGAGTCCACCGATGAAGCACCTACAAGGACAGAAAAAA